GAGTGGGAATCAACTTGATGACGATTGGTTTCAACTGGTTATGGCCCCCTAGTGGAGGGCTGCCCACTCCAACCCAGTAACCCTTCACAGGCAACAGCTGATGGCCCAAAGCTTGCTAAGCCATGCCCGGCTGGCCGGCTGGGGGCACATGGGCCAGCTGCACCACCTTGCTGCCCTGCTCCAGCGGAGCCAGACCCAGGGCACCACTGGGCAGCCAGAGGATTAGGACCAGCCCATCTTCTACCTTCTCTTGATTTTCCCCTACCCACCCCCGGGCCTATGCAGACAGGAGGTTCCAAGGGGTGGGGCTGCCACATCTCTGCCTAGAACCGAGACCCCCAGATTACAGAACCACTCCACTCAGAGGCCACTTACAGAGCCACAGGTCCAAGCACCACATTTTATGGATGGGGAAACTGAGGCCCAGGGAGGGACAGTGACGACCCCAAGAACACACAGCATCAGGACTTGAACCCAGGTCCCCTGTTTTTCAGGTCAGAACTCTTTGCATGCCACCTGCTGCCCAAGCTGTGTTCAGGTGACCTACCGAGGGACAGATGGCAAGGAGATGCCTTGCCCACTTAGCTGGTGGGTGGGTGAGGGGGTGTGAGTACCCTGGACTCCTGGGAGGCCCCAGACAATCTGCCTGCCTATGAGTGGGGCTACTTGAATGAAATAGCTGCCTTCACATCTGACTCTGCCCACCCCCTCCCTGGGCTGCTACTCCTGCCTCAGGCCACACCCCCATCCCTTCCTTCACACCTCCCCCCCACCACAGCACTGTCCTCTTCCTCATCTCCCCTACAATTCCTTCTCCCAAACTCGCCTCTGCCAGAAGGCCTTGCTGGCTGACCCGCTCCAGGCACTCTGGGACCCCAGGGAGCAATACCAACCTGGACCTGTGAGGGTGTGAAGGTGTATGTGCAAGTGTGCCTTGTCTGCCCCCCACCAGGTCATCAGCTACCCGAGGAGGGACGTGACTTTCCCTTGTCTTGGTACTTCCAGGCTCAGAAGTGGTCCTCAGAGTGCCCCCACCCCCATGGGGATAGCTGGGTGATGCTGGGCACAGACCCCAGAGCCGTAGGTCCCAGAGAGTCAGAGCTGGCAGGACTTGTGGGCCCCACACACCTCAGGGCGGGAGCAGGTTGAAAGATGGCTCCAAGGCCAAACACATCTGGGACACCCTTTGTTAATACAAGAAGACCAGCTTCTAAATGCGGGCCTTCTCAGAGGCTTTACTGTGTGGAGGGACACTGACTCTCCAGGAGGGGCCAGAGTGCCCTCACACCAAACTCAAGAGACCACAGAATCCACTCACGGAGCCAGGAACACGCCCTGGGAAATGCTGGTTGACTCAACTCACAAGGGGGGACCTGAGGTCCGTGGGTCAGAAGGGACCTGCCTGAAATGGGGCCCACCGCCTGTCATATGGCACCGTGGTGCAAATTAGAAAAAGGTGCCCCTTCCATCTGTGGTGAAATTAACCCCAGTACATTGCTTTTATTAGAACAAGACCCTTTGCTGCCATCTGCTGGAGACGTCTCAGAGTAAATACACCATCTACAATGTCTGGGAATGGCATACCCCCCTCCCTTAGATGTGGTGCTCTTGTCCAGTCCATAACCTGTCCGACCATGCAGGGTAGCCCTGGGCCCCAAGTCACACTATCTCAGCCAGCCCATCACTCTCTTTCTGCCTGCAGGATTCTGAGGTGAACTCACCCCTCAGCCTCATCCAGGATACACCTTCCTAAACTCCTTGGAGGCAGACAGGGATGCTGGGGGCTTCATCTCTGTGCACTTCCCCCCCATTACCTAGCCCATGCAGACTCAAATGACTGACCCCTAACACACTGTATAACTGTTTATGCACCGAGAGAGCTGACCAGGGACCAGGGACAAGGATCCAGCCCCAGCCCAGGCTCTGACTTGCTGTGCGTTGGTGGGAGAGTCCCGAGCCCTCTTGGTGCTCTTTTGTAAAATGAGGCAGTTGAGCATGATCACCTCCAGGGGCCCAGAGCTCTGAACAGATAGTGACCATCCCCCGCCGTGGAATTCTGAGGCAGGCCAGAGGTCATCCCTGATTGCAGATAGAAAGACAGCCAAGAACACAGCAGAATACAACCTGGATTTTTGTTTTTTTTATTAGACTAGGAAATATAATTTATTTCATAAAAATTAATTTTGTTACAATAGGAATGCTAAACGTTATTTACAGGTTGTAGTTTACAGAATAAACAGAGGTGGGATTGGGGGTCATCCCTGGAGCCCTGCACCCCCCGGACATATAACCATGCCCACAGCCCAGGCAGGGGTCCAGCCCTTTGCCCCCAGGAGAGCTTCTTTCTACACCCAAGCTCCTGGTCACCTCCCCTCACGGGCCAGCTAAGGGACCTGGTTCAGCTGCCTGGAGCTGGGGGGAGGGGGCCAGAGGGTGTGGATCGTCCAAGAGATGCGGAGGGTCCCCCACATCCTTGAGGGGACTCCTGCTGCAGAGTTCTGGTGCTTGGGGCACTGCAAGAGGGGGAGGAGGAGGGAGAGGCACGTAGAAGATACACTGACTGACCCTGTGGACTCAGAGGGCAGGACACAGGTGCACCAACCTCCAGGCGCCCTAACCGGGGATGCACACACCCCACGCATGTGGGAACATGCACACGTTCCCGGAGGTGCACCCTGATATGCCCACGAGACAAGCACACACACACAGAGCAGCGCACACACACACACACACACACACAAATGCATGTGCAAACATACTCCAGAGATGAGAGAGACCGAAATACGTCTTCAACGGCATCTAATGGGCAGTTCTCAAGGCCCAGGTAGGTGCACATGAGGGGCTGACTCTCAGGTCTGAGTTAAGAGGAGAAACTGCTAATCCCCCCACTGAGGCAGGCAGCCTGGGGACATAGTCCCAGCAGCTTGGCAGATTGATGGAGCCAGAAAACCTTTCTGGGCTTTTCCTATAAAGTTGGACCGTTTGAACCCTCCCAGGAGGCTCCAGCCAATTGGTTCTGTGCTCCAGGCCCTGGTACACAATTTCTGGAAATCAGACTGGAAATGGAGCATGGCTGATCGGCCAGGCCTCACCATCCCCAAGAGCTCTTGTCTAAGTGGGGTTGGGGAGAGCAGGGCTATGGCAGGCCATGGTCAACTTTTTTGGGGGGAGCCTATTCGGGTTCCCTTCAGAAGCCAAGAATCACAGTGTATCAGAACCCAAGAGGGGCTCAGATAGCAGCCACAGGGCCTCCTCGTATAAAAAGGAAACTGAGGCGCAGAGAAGGCAGTGACATGCCCAAGGTCACACAGCGGTTTAATTAATGGAAAAGCTGGACTCAATCCCAGTCTTTGGACTCTAAGACTGCATATGGGCATCTTTAGAGGTGGGTGACAGGAATGGCACCAGTAAAGCTCCTCCCACTGTGCCCCAACACCCTACTCACCGAGGCCCACAACACTTGGGTAGTGACCAGAGGCCAAGCCCATGGGGCGGGCAGTTCTGGCAGGGAAGGTGTGCTGCCTTTGTCCAAGGCGGTGCCCATACAGGCACTGGGACAAAAGGCCTTGTTCTTGGCCTCAGGAGCCCAGACATGTCCCAGCCCCGGTGTAGGCCTGGCCCTTCCAGCGGCCCTGATAGAAGGAATCCTCCCTTGAACCTCCTGGCAGGTTGCCCTCAGCCAGCTCCCACTCTCAGGGCTAGGTGGGTGGTGAGAACCCCCATAAACATGCAAGCCCACGGCAGGAAAGCCAGGCCAGGACGCTGGCTGGGACCACGGCTTTAAACCTGCCCTCCTCTCAGGAGCAGACTTTCAAAGGCAGGATGTGCCCAGGCTGGTCCCACAAGCGGCTCAGGGACCTGCTGGCATGCCCGGGGGTCAGCTCGCAGAGCTGCTGGGGAGCTGGCACTCGCCTTGCCCTGAGTCCTCTGTACCAGCTGCAGATCCTGGTCCAGCTATTGCCCCTGACAATGGACGGGGGCTCACCCCTCCACACACACTTTGGACCCTGCTGGCCTCTCGGAACATTCTGAAACAGGCTGGTTGGGTTGCCAGCCAGCCCTTTCACTCTGGCAACCCCGCCCCATTCGGAAAGTTACTTCAAGATCTCCCAGACTGGGAGGGCGAGAAGAGGATTAAAGGGAAGTGCCCATGGAGATCAGAGCAGGGAAAACAGTCCTCCACCCTTCCTCCTCCACTCCCAGGCTATAAACTCTGCTGGGCCACCCACCTCTCAGCTCCCACGCCGCAGGGATGGCTGCTCATTCGTTCCTCAGGGCCAACCTGAGTCCCAGAAGCTCAGGCTTCTGTGGCTAGAGGGTCTCCTCCATCCCTCCCGGCCCCCTACATCCATCCCTCCTATTTTACAGAAAGAAACTAAGACCCAAGAGGGGAGGAGGAGTCCAGATTCCTGAGCATCAGAAAACTGTTTTAACCTCCTAACTCACCTGATCTAGAGGTTGCTGGGTCGGGGAGGGTTCCTGGCTCCCTATGGAGATACCCTAGGAGAGAGGTGTCCATGAAGATCCCCTCATTTCCTGTCTCGCTCGAGCCCCACCTCTGGGCCACAGGAGCAGCCATCAGGCCATGGCCTTGGAAACATTCTCGCTGGCTCAGAGCTAACCTGGCCCACTCACATCTTCCACTGCAGTGCTTAACCTGGGTTCCCTGGGGCCCTGGTGTCCCCAGAGGAGCCTGAGGGCATCTGCCTGGGGCTGCGGGAGGAAGGACCCCACCTCGTTTGTTTCACAGATTCAGAGTTGGCTTAAGATTTCAGAGGGAAACATGGTATTAAGCTAAAACCTAGTCTGACCTATTCCTTATAGAACTGGGGAAACTGAGACCTGGCCAGAATTTAGTACAAGACGGACTTGTTAGTAGCAATGTGTTCCCTATTCAGTTTCTCTCTCCCGACACACACACACACTCACTCACTCTTGGCCAGAACCACGTGCATGCCCACTCTCATCCACTCAAGAAAAGGGTTTTCTATTTTTTTTTGTGTGTTGTTTTTCATTTGCTTTTTTCTTAAAAAGGACTTATCCAATATCTGGATAATAAATCATTTGCGTTTCCTAAGAAACTGGGTTTTTCTTTTCCCTTGTGGTTTGGTGTTTTTCTTCTTCTTTGAGCCTTACTAGCAGTCTGAAGCTTGCTTTCTTTTTTTCCTTTTGGACAGGAGAAAGCCATTCGTCTGAATTGTACTCGACTCTCGAAAGACTAAAATGGTGTGACAGGAGAAGGGCGCTCAGGGAGGAGGGGGAAATTAGCAACCGAGGAAGAAAATAGAGTGAAATGAAAACCTGTGCCCAGAAGTCCCAGGGTGGAGGCCAGGGGTAGAAGGATGACCTTTCCCTCCCTCCCTGCCACCAGAGGCCTCCGTCCCATCCCCTGTCCCTGCATGCAGGGCTGAGGCCAAAGGGAGCCAGCTGGGGATGAGAAGGAACCTGGGTCCTCAGACAACAGAGTACATGGATTTTCTAAGGCTAGTTGTGGTCAGGGGCTGGGGCAAGGGGAAGAGGAGAGGAGCTGCTCCGGCTGGGAGCTGGGGGCAGCAGAGGCTGAATGCCCCCACAGGGAGGCTGCCCCGGGCCTCCCTGCACTCGCCTCCTGCTGGTCCCACCAGCCCACGTCCAGGGGCGGCTCAGCAGTCCCCGTCGGTGGCCATGGCCACCAGCATCTCACTCTTGCCCATCTCCTCCAAGGCACTCGCCAGGCTATTGAGGTCCCCATCGTCCTGCTGCAGAGCTTCCCAGAGGTCCAGGATCACGCCCGTAGGGCTTGCTTTGGTGGCAAAGTAGTTCAGGTACCTGGCAGAGGGAGAAAGATTGGGCTTCTTGAACACCCAGCACCTCTCAGGAGCCTGGAGGTGGAGGGAGCTCTGGAAGGTGGGAAGACTCTGGATTCTAGGGTCCCACAGTCCTGGGTCTCAGTCCTGACTCTACTGCTTCCAGGCTGTGTGGCCCTAGGCAAGGCACTGCACCTCTCTGACCCTCAGTCACCTCCTCTCTAGGATGGGAATGATCCCTCTCACCCTGCAGACATATGAAGTAAGGGTCTAGCCCGCCCTGACAGGGAACACAACAGAGAGTCCCTGATGGAGCAGGAGAAAGGTGGGGTGTAGAACTCAAATTCTAGTAAGAAGACCAGACTTAATGGTCTG